TGATTTTTACCAGATATTAATTGAAATTGATTAATTTGAATTCACACACACAAAAAAATTCATTCTAAAATAATTTTATATTAAATTCAAATTCAAATTTAATTAGGAGAATCATACGTATAGTCTCACCATTTTTAGAGTCTATTTTGGACATTTAGGGCCAATTTACAAGGATTAAGCAATTTTTTCAGTTTTTTCGTGTGTATTAACCCATGAGTAGTTTGGTGATATGGTTTCCGAAAGATTTTTTTGTGAAACATTTATGTAACCCTCCGTAGGTCTCACTATTTTTAGAATTCATTTTGGAAATTTAGGGGTAAATTTACAAGAATTAAGCAATTTTTTCAATTTTTTGTGTGTGCTAACCCATGATTAGATTGGTGATATGATTTCCGAATGATTTTGTTGTGAAACCTTTATGTAACCCTCCGTAGGGAGTTGAGGGAGCAGTACGTAAAGTCTCACCATTTTTACAGTCCATTTTGGACATTTAAGGGTCACTTTACAGAAATTAGGTGATTTTCTGAGCTTTTCGTGTGTTAACACCCATGAATATTTTGGTGATATGACTTCCGGACAATTTCTTTGTGAAATTATTACGGAAAGTTAGGGGAGAGTGCATACGGTCTCGCCATTTTTAGAATTCCTTTTGAAAATTTAAGGGCCAATTTACAAGAATTAGGCGATTTTCTCAATTTTCGTGTGTGTTAGGCCATGAATATTTTGGTGATATGACTTCCAGACGATTTATTTGTCAAATCTTTACGAAACCTTATATAGGGAGTTGGGGGGATCAGTATGTATAGTCTCACCATTTTAAGAGTCCATTTTGGCAATTAAGGCACAATTTATTGAAATTAGACGATTTATTCAGTTTTCGTGTGTAAATGCCCATGAATATTTTGGTGATATGACTTCCAGACGATTTATTTGTCAAATCTTTACGAAACCTTATATAGGGAGTTGGGGGGATCAGTATGTATAGTCTCACCATTTTAAGAGTCCATTTTGGCAATTAAGGCACAATTTATTGAAATTAGACGATTTATTCAGTTTTCGTGTGTAAATGCCCATGAATATTTTGGTGATATGGCTTCAGGACAATTTCTTTGTGAAACCATTACAGAACATTCCATAGGGAGTTGGTAGAGCAGAGTGTACATTCTCACCATTTTAGAGTCCATTTTGGGCATTTAGCGGCCAATGTATAGGAATTAGTATTTTCTTAGTTTTTTATATGTGTTAGTGCATGAATATTTAGGTGATATGACTTCAAGATGATTTTTTTGTGAAAGCTTTATAAACACTTTGTAGAGAGTTGGTGGAGCAGTTCGTATAGTCTCATAAATTTCAGAATCCAACTTGGACATTTAGAGGAATTAAGTAATTCTCACAGTTTTTCATGTGTGTTATCCCATGAATATTTTGATTATTTGGATTTCAAACGACTTTTTTGCGAAACATTTATGAAAACCTCAATAGGGAGTCAGGGGAGCAGTTCTTACAGTGTCATCATTTTTAAAGTCCATTTTGGACATTTAGAGACTAAATTATAGTAACTAGGTGAATTTCTCTGTTTTTCATATGTGTTAGCCGATTAATATTTTGGTGATATGACTTTCATTTGAATTTTTTGCGAAATATTTATGGAACCCTCCGTAAGGAGTTGGGAGAGCAGTACGTACAATCTAACCATTTTAATGTGCTTTTTTGGGTATTTAGAGGCCAATTTACGGAAACTAGGCAATTTTCTCAGTTTTTCACCTATAAATATTTTGGTGATATGACTTCCTGACAATTTTTTTGCATAACCTTTATACAAGATAATAAAGTGTCACGACCCAGACCGTCGTGATTGACACCTACACTAACACTCCGGTGGGAGAATCACTACTACAACCCGACTAAGCAATTTTAAGAACTAAATCATTTAAAGATACGAAAGCAGGTTTAAATGACGAATTACTATATAGCTCCCATAAACTCCAAAAGTTTAAATAAACAACCAAACATAACTATAGCGGAAATTCAACCCCTAGAACCTGAAAGTCATTGTACCGAAACTCTACTAATTTTTAAGTCTAAGAAAAAGGGGGTACAACCCCGAAACTAACATACGAATAAGTCTAACTAACTATGTAGTATGAGTCCGAAAAGAATGGACTAAACAAATAGAGGATCCATGGCAGCCTGAAAGAACTGGCTCACCATCAAATTTGGTCTCGGTCAATGATCCCCTAGTTGAGGTCTATCAGTAGCTGCCTGAAGATGCCCTGTACTCAATAAAGAACGAGCAAATGCAATATCAGTACACAAGCCACAGTGTACTGGTAGGATCACGCAGCTACTCCAGTAAGCAAAACATAAGCAAGTAATTACAACACAATAAACACACATATACAGAATGCATAATTCAGTTATCATTTAGGAGCAACATACAATTTCCCAATATCAATGACATATAGATATGAACGTAATAATCACAAGTGGTCCTCTCATGGAACCCACACTCAAATTGTTAGTGTGTCGAAACGTGACACTCAATTCAATATATATGTGTCATAATGTGAACGTGATACCCGATTCAATATATGTGTCGGAACGTGACTCCCGATCCAGTCAGCACAACCACAGTCACAATCACACCCATAATGAATAGTGCTCATAATCATACAATCAAGTAATAGGTTCATGACATGTAGTTGTTCCTACATAATCATTTCATTAGATTGATTCACATTTCCTATTCACATACATGCATGCATACAATGAGCAATTAACAAGCATATATCACACAACAGGAAATCGAACCATCACCTACCTCGAAATTAAGCCTGAATACTCCTAACACACGTGAGCCTTTCATTTCCGGAGTCTTTCAGCTCGTTCTTGATCTAAAACAAGCAATTAATGCAATGATCACTAAACAAGGTCTAATTAACTCGGATAATAACAAACTTATTAACCTAAGACCAAACCCATGATCCTAATGTTCAACTAGGGTTTTTCCACCATTAACTTCAGGCCAAAACCCTCTCCTAACGATAATTTACAAGGATTCTAAGTTCTAAGAATCGAAATACGGATTAAGGGAGTAATTAACTTACCTTTAGCACTAGAAGTCGTGGAAATCTGTCAAGAAACTGCATTGGGTCTTCCCTTAGCTCTTAAGAACGAAGTTTTGCAGAAAATAATGAAATTGGGGTTTTTCCCTAACTTAAGTCGCAACTGGCCCCCCACGACGGACCCCATCCCGCCACAGCGACCCTGCCCTAGCAAGATTAATCCCGCTCCGGTGGCTTGCACGGAGACAGAAGCTCAGAATTTGAGTTCCAAACTCCCATTTCACAACACACCTTTAAACCTGGACGTTCTAAAACTACTATTTCACGCCAATATCAATTTCAAAAGTTTAATTTTACTTGTCCGAATTCGATTTCGTAAAGCCCTACAGGCTCCTTAACGTCTTGGTTATCTACTCATGTGATCAAACTCATAATTAAATCCCCGTTAATTACCAGATTTCCCTAAACCTCACCTGACTCAGATTTCGTCCAAGTCTGACCTAGGCAAGAAATTTCGAAGTCGCTACTCAGAAATTTTCTGACACAAATTCTTTTCCCATAGGTTTTTCTATAACGACGGAAATAGGGTGTTACATAAAGCAAACTGGAAATTGGATCAAATTTCTTTTATTTTTTGCGCAAAAATAACCAATGAACATCCAGGGTAGAAAAAGTAAGAAAAAATAAAAATAAAATAACATCAATTTTTGCGATTTTCAGTTCATGAATTTTGAGTGATAATGCGGAACCAATGAGGTTGGAGCTTTGAGCAATACGTGTCGGTCCACTGACATATATAATTTAAGATCAATTTTTTAACTGCATCTGCACTCTGCACTCTGCACACTGCACACTGCACACTGCACATTGCACACTGACCCGACACACGTTACCTACTAATTATTAAGCATTCTCTCCTTTCTATCACCTTTACGTACTACTGCTTCCACAAGTAGATAGACACTATTAGAATTTACGAGATTTTATATTTTTTTCATTCTAATTTATATAAGTTAATTTTATTTGACATATATAATTTAAGATAAAAATAAAGATTTTAAAATTGTGATCTAAAATAAGTCATAGATTATTTTTATAGTTATAATTTCTTTTAATAAGAATAAAATTGGCATTTAAAATGGTTACTAAATATACAAATATATCATTCTTTTTTAAATTAACTAAAAAGATACATATCTCGTCTTTGGGGATAGAGTTGAGAGGTTCATTTAATGCAGGAAAACGTTATTTTCTATGTTCCATTTATATGATTTATTTTTCTTGAATGATATAATTTATATTTAATAACAATTTAACTTTTTAAAATGTCAATTTTACTTAATGAAATAATTTATAGTTACAAAAATATCGTATAACTTATTTTAAACTTTGCATAAGTTAAATTAAAACAAAAATATTATTAATTTTCTTTGACTTCTTTTTCGTACTTTTAATAAAAATTTTACTGTCCCGTGCGTCCTAAAACTCGTACTGCGAATGTTCAAATCTGTTTGATCTCATATTAATTAATTCCGTACTCGAAATTTATCACTCCACCAGAACCAAAGTGATGAACTTCACTGTTCTTTATTTATATATAAAGTATATAAATATGAAGTCCAACAACCGACTTTCCTTTACGTACTGCTCACTGCCTCCAGTTTTGTGAGCTTACTGATCATTATACAACCTCAGAGAAACAAAAATAAGGTCATGATACGCAACGAAAAAAATTGAATATATATAAAATACACAAACATGTGGGCTGAAGACCATCTTCACCTTTTCAATTTTAAGATCATCATAACTATTATTCAGACTTTGTCTCGATTTGGTAGTCTCAGATTATTTCATGTACAAATGATAATATATTCGGTGCCGGTTATTCACCTGGAGCCACTGCAAGGGCTATTTTATTTGACAAATACAGTGATAAATCACTAGAGAAAACTCAGGGTCACCCTCTGTGGTGGAAGGTCAGACATTTCATTCACTTTTCTGTTTTTCTTCATCCAAGCTCTCTGTATTCGTATTACTTGGTTAATTAGAAAAATAAATATGAAAGATGTCTAATTATTTTTTATATCACAAGAGCAGATTTGTGAGGTAAGATTTACATTTTTCTCCAGATGTTTCTTTTCCTTTCGCAGCAGTTTTTCCTGCAATAATTAAGGGGTATCAATAATCAGCTAGAATTACGAGTTTAAAGGTTCTAAATTTTAGGACAGAAGAGAAAAATATTGTAAAGTATGTTGATAGTGGGGTTTCATACCACCCACAACACTAGTGTCAGAAGTATTTTCACTTACCATTGAACTGTCAATTAATTTTGTTAGGGGTTCACAAGTTAATAACATATATATGTATTTAATTTTCTAATATAAATAGACGATCTACGATAAGTTAGTGGGTTCGGACGAACCCATGAACCCCCACCTAGCTCCGCTTCTGTGTATCCTGACATGTGCGGTCTAATAGAAAACTAGTTTTCAGGATGTGCCGATGGAAATGAAAACATACCTTCTCATGAAGAGCCTTAACAGATTCAAGCATCAAATGTGTCTGCACAAAACAAAAACTAGTTAGAGTTGCTTCATTCTCAGGTACTAACTAACTGAGAACCAGATTATAAAACATTATAATTTATAAAGACCTTTCTAGATCTGATTTGTGTTAGAGAAGTTTGAAGTTCGTTTTCCAAATGGATAAGGTCAGTCACAGTAAGACCATCAGCATTAGTTTTCTCGAGTTGCCTGTCGAATTGAGACAGCGGATCAGTTGTATAAGCTTTAAGAATAAAAGTGGAGTTTAAGATCAGTACCTTTCTGTTTCTTCTAGTAGTTCTCCCGTTTTCAAGCTTGAGTATTTAGAGTGCTATATACACCTCAGAATGATCAGAAAACTTTCAGCATAAAAAATGTATTTGATTATTCAAGACCACATTGAATAACTCTCAAATGATAACTGTGGCTACATTGCAAAATACGCAATGAATCGATATGATAACTTTACTAATCAACCGTATCAGCTACATGAATGAAAAATCCAGGATTTGACAAAATACTAAACATGTCTAGCATAAGTCAATTTAGTCGGGTAACAAGATCCTTTTTTTTTTTATAGATATATTTAGTCGAATAGCAGCATGATCTATGATGCACTATGATGAAGAGTAAACATCATTTATAATTTGAACCTTCCAGTCCTAGAGGTGGCACACTAAACCTAACATGTAATTTAGTATCTTCGGACCTAGTAAAAATGCAGGAAAATTACATGTATTTCACAACATCTGGAAATAGTTCCGGCTAGATATTGATCTCTGACCAGTTGAGACTATGCATCATTTATTTTTGGGTAGGATACAAGTTCAGAGTTACTTAATACTCATCAGAGCGAGGCAAAGAATAACCAAATTGATTGAGGACTTTATATATGCAAGATAATGCACTTATTTCAAGTATCTAGAGAAAATCTAATTCACTAGAATATAACTGGATAGCAGCCAACTAATCAAATACCTCTGCAGCCTGGATTTCTGGAAAAATCTCTTTTTCTGCTTCAACATGGGTTTCGTATCGTTGAAGGATCCCTGTCAGACTGGAACATATATCATCAGATATGATTGCTGGCGGGTAAGTATAAGGAAAATGTTATGAGCAGACCAATTTGTGTAGGGTTTAAACTAGAGTGCTTCAGAAAATTCTGAACATATTTTATGATGTTATATCTCTCTCTGAGCATTAGGCACTAAACCATCGAAAATACGAGACCCTCTGCATGGATACCAAAAGGGAAGCCCATTTTAGTTTAGTAGTGTATATCATCAGTCACTTCCACTGGAGAGAGAACGTTTAGCTTTCTTTCTACCTTTACACTCTTTTATTTTCTTCTATAGGACTCTAATGGTAACATTTAGAGAACTGATTAGTATGGATCTCTTCGGCCAGCCTCCCGACCATTCACTGGCCCCCCCTGACCCACCCAATGCTCTAATGCAAGCTTTCGCGCTCTGGTTCAGCAAAATTCCCAATCCATGATTGGCCTAACTCAGCAAATTGGGAATAGTCCCTAGTGTTGATAACACTAGGTGTCAAGGAAAAGAGTTTGTTTACTGCACAGACCATATGACCTAGTGGATGGAAAACCAGTGGTCCGTTTCATGGAGGAGGAACACACAATGCTTGCTGAAACCTGTCGATGGATTGTCATCGGTAAGTTCCCAAGAAGAAAGAATCCTTTTGGATTTCCGTAGGACTATATCCCTCTGTTCAGATAGGGGCCTAGGATCTCAATCACTTCTTGATTGACTTTGCACTAGAAGAAGACCATAGGAGTGTATATAGTAGGAATTTTCTCCCAATCCTAGGTATGCAAATGAAGATCTGAAATGGACTACAAACATCCAATTCAATGTGGAAACCATCTTAGTTGCAATATGGATTAAATTTCCAGACCTGAGATGGCATATTTTTAAGTGGGATGCTTTGTGACAAGTTGTGCTTCAATAGGCATACCCATTATAATTGATAAAGCAACACTCGCAAAAAACAAGACCTGCTACAGCTAAAACAAAAGTGGAGATTGTTATCATCAAGGCCACTTATCTACGAGGTTATGATTGATATCCAAAACGAAACAATACCTGAGAATGGAAAAAGTGAGATAAGACATGCACATGCAGATACTAGGAACCAGACCATCCAGGAGACCAAAGTTAGGAAAAATAGTAGTACTATGGCAATCAATAAGTATAACCAAGAAATGCAGGCCGACAACAACTTGGGGAATATCTCAGGTAATAGTCAAATAACTACTGTTGGAAAAGGGTAAGGAAAGAAGAATAGGAATATTACTATGAATCAGCACATGGCACAAGAGAGAATGATACTCAAACCTCCCCAAAATAAGATAAAAAAAGTTGAGACAATAATAAGTGCTAAGGATCCATCTGCCACAACAAACTCCAACAGTGGTCCCATTCAGATGAAGGACCACTTCCAACTCAGAAGTGGTCGCTAAGGAAAATCTCATGACAAAATGAGGGAACCCAAAGTCTACAACATCAAAGCTATATGTGTTTCCATATGTGCATTTAAACCATTTAGTTCATGCGAGTGGGCAAGCATGAGCCAGGTCAGATAGATTTGGAAGAATTTAGTTTGACCACGAGGGCTGCTTTGTTTGTTTTTGCACTGCTTGATACTTCTTATTGATATGAGCATGTTGTGATGGTTAATTAGATGTTCAGCATTTATTATCACTTGATTGAGTATGCACTGATAATGCTTGGTAAGAGGCTAGTTAGCTTGTGTGGAGGATACCAGGTAAGACGGGATAGTTGTTGCACTGCTCGAGATAGATAAGTTAGGAACCTACGCACCGAAGATGGGTATGGATGGACAAGTCATGCACCTATGCTCAATAGCAGTCTGTATCGGTGATTTCTGTTCAGTTGCTTTACTTGTATATCATTATTATACTTGATTTATTTTGTTTTATGCCTTTATGAATTACCAATGATTTCTAAAGACTTGCCCAAAGAGTAAGCTTAGAGTCAAGTCAATGATCTTGATGGATCTTTAGTTTAACGTTTGTTGTTGTTTGGGTGTGTGCAGGGGAGCAGATGGTGCTGGTGATCAGTGACTCCAATGTTGATCAGTCATTCCAGTGGGAACCCACACCCTTAGGAGGAGGTGCACGTGCATCCGCTAACTTCTGAAAAAATCATATGTATATATGTATATCTATTTTGAGAAACTGACAGAAACTAAAATATAGTTAACAGTGCACCCATGAAAAGTATAGGAGTGTCCTTATGTTGTTGGTATAAGCTAGAGAAACCACCCTTGAGACCGGGGTTCAAATCCCAGCTAAAGCCCTTTTTCATTATTTTTATTTTAAGTTTAGCTTAGAGCTCATATTTAAGCTAAGATAATATTGATGCATCTGAAGTCTTCAAATCCTAGGTTCGCCTTGGATTCCAGTCGAGATGAGCCTCCAATAGATCATGGAGGACTCTTCCTCTTAGTAGACTTAGCACTTCATTATTATTATTATTATATAAAGCCGGTTTAAGGCTTTATTCCTCTTTATTCTAAGTTATCACATGTTTTAACTTTAGAGGGTTTCACCTTATGAGTAGTATCTCGTTAGATGCCTTACGACCTAGGTGCCAGATTTGGATCATGACAACAAGAAAGGAAGCCATTCAATAAGCTTAGTAAACATCAACTAAGGTGGTGTAATCATATAGAACAAAATCCAATATGTAAGCCATTGTGATAATCTAGTAGGATTTGATCTCTATAACCCCCCCTTATTAAGATACAAAATCGGATAGATTTTACAACTGAAGGTTTATGGGCATTAAGTTGTTTGCCATGTGATGACCTCAGACGTACACCTACACCTTCAAGATCGTTTACGCATGGCGAAGCAAACGGGTTACAAGTATTGGGACTATTATAAATGAAGTGGAAAGTCTTCAATGGTCTGTTAGAGGATCCCATCTTAAGCTACACACAACTAGAATGGAAGGAAGACCGAAAATGGAGTTTGGAAATGATTTGGGAAGCCTTGGCCAATTGTCATCAGATGTAGATTTTGTGTTCAGCTAGATTACAATGATCATGAGACTCGAACCACTAGTAGCGAGAAACTGGGCATCGTGATCACAACGTCACAGATGCAAGTGCGTAAATACTCCAAGTTGACTTTCTGGCACAAAAGCATCACGAACATGGAACTGCGCTAAGCACGAACGCATAAAAGGACCTTATATCACCATATCATGATCTCAATACATTTGAGCACTATGCGTCAGCAACAAAACATAGAGCCCAAGTCATATGGGCAATCTACCGAACACCCGATGAGCATCAAGCTCTAAAACTCCCAAACAATGGTGTTTCTCTACACCAATCCTTTCCCTTAGCCAACAAAACACACAAACCTCATGTGAGGCCAACCAAGTAGTAAATCCGAAACACCACAATGCTTAAAACAACCTACATGTCTCACATGCAATGGTGTCAATGAGGACTCTTGGCTTTCGATCACCATCTCATGAGTCTCGACCTCAAAATAAGCTTTGGATGTTTAATATAAGCCTATGCACGAAGTCAAGAAGAAGTGCTACCCTCAATTGTTATTTTTAGCATTCATGTAGTTGGACATTTCCATATGATATGTATGAACTTGACATGGAGGTATGATAAACACATAGGAATGAAAGCAACAGCTAAGAAATGTCATGAGGGATACATCTCATAGAGAACTCATAGCATTATATGGAACATGGATTACATAGGCTCATAGAAGAAGGGAAAACATCGATGAGAAAGTCATGTCATAACGGGGAAAGTGGGGATAACCTTACATACCTCAGCTTTTCTCTTAAAATTACTACAACGGATCAATTCTTCTTCAAGGCTTTAACCTATAAAAGGCACCCATACTTGGTAGTAGTTGAACTCTCCAAAAGAGTGTAATGATACTTTGGGGCTTATATTAGGATTATTTTAGGCACTTCATTGAATAATTTTGCTTTAGTATAAATACCCTAAACCTAAGCTTATTTTGATAATCTTGTTATGAATTTGGAGAATCATCTTGTGAGATTTAGAGGTCATCTTATGAATTTTTCCAAGGATTTGCAAGAGGTTAGCTTGCTCTTATGGATTTTAGTAGGTTTTGGTGCTTCTTTGATTGTATTTATAAGCCAAGTGATTAAGATTTCTTATTCAAATCATCACTAGCATTTTATCAAATATTGTGTCTAGCTATCTTTTACTTGTTTTCTTAGCTTAAATCTTTATAGGAATTGATTATATGAAGGAAAAAATGATGTAGAGTTTCTGACATATTTTTGGGAGATTTGCTTGTGGATTGTATTGATACTGCAACTAATTTGTGCAAGTGGTTGATTTGTTTTTGAGGAAATGATCAAAATGGTCCTTCACGTGTATGAGTTGATTTATTTTGGTCCTTAATATATATCACTTGATAGAAATAGTCCTTAATGTATGCAAATTGAGTATCAGTTTGATCCTAAGCCCTTAATTTAACTTTTCTTTGTTAAAAACTAACGTCTCATTCCTAACTCATTTTCCCTATTAAAAACTAACGTCTCATTCCTAGCTCATTTCTCTCTTCTCCTTGGCTGCTCTGCATTCCTGTCTTCTCTCTAAAACTGCATCAGCTTCTTAAAATATATTTTAAAAAACTCATCTCCTGTCAACTCATCTTCTTTTAGAAAAATTCAATACTCATTATGATTTGAGCAACTTGTTCCATTTTTCATTAATGGTATGAATGACTTTATTTTTAGACGCATTGACTGAATTAAAAAAATAATTTAAATTGGTAATCTAATGAATTAAGAAGTAGCATATCCATGCTTTTGGATGACATAGACACACAAAAATTCTCCATTATTTTATTACTGTTTAGTTTATAATCTCTTTTGATTTACTAAGCTGATTTTTAGATTGGATGAGCTAATTGGTTAATTCAATGAAACATGAAAATTGAAATCAATAGGTGAATCTTATTTTGCCCTTCCATTGAATCCAATAAATTTTCAGTTGACCCAAAAGCTAGAAATTACTTGAAAGAAAAGAAAAAAACCAATTTTTTTAGGTTGCAGAAGTTATGGGTGAGTTTGAATAAGCAATATATGGGTGTATTAGTATCCTATATTGAGGAAGAACAAGTACTGAAGAACCAGAGAAGGGGGACCTTGGGAGGAGACGTTAGTTTTTTAAAAAGTTAAATTTAGGGTTTAGGACCAAAATAATACCCATTTTACATACATTAAGGACTATTTCTATCAAGTGATATATAGTAAGGACCAAAATAAATCAACCCATATACATGAAGGACCATTTTGATCATTTTCTCATTTGTTTTTTGCTAGTAATTTGAATTTGAGCTAGAAAATTGCCAAGACCACCACTATAGTATGCTTCAAAGTTGGTTTGACTTGAATTCAAGGTAGTGTGGGATTTGAGTGGTGTAAAAATTGGTTGGGAACATTTGTAAGAACTTGTATCCAATGTTTAGAGTTGATTGGAATCCATTTGAATCAAATTTGGGTTAAGAAATCTGAAGATGAGACAACTACCTAGGATGACCTAAAGTTACAAACTTGATAAACTTCCAAGATCGTGACATTCAACACCGCGATTGTGAAAGCCAAAGCTTAACTATGGTCTTAAGCGTTTCTACAAAACATTTCGTAGTGAAAACGAGTATCTAGATTTGGGTGCCCAAAATTCAAACATTGTGACAAAAATCCAAATTGTCCTCAAAGCGATTAGTTCTCCATTGCCACGAGAAATATTCCACGGTAGCGGAAAATAAATTCCAGCATTATCCGTGATCACATAAGGCAATTCAACACACTATTTTTGGTTATTCTAAGCTATTAACACTTGGGGGTCGTTTGGTACAAACATATATAATGCAGGGATTAGTAACGCATGGATTAGTAGTGCAGGGATTATTTTTTGTCAAGTTTTTGGTTCATTACTTTCCACTTAATCTTGTGTTTCATTTAAAACTCTACAAAAAAAATTCTTTCCTATTATACCTTTGTGTTATTATAAGATTGTTTATTTCATGTAATTGGGTTAATGTAGATATTATTATTTTTTTGTAGGATTTTCTATTCCATTTAACTAGTTTATTTATAAATTATTATTAATTTTAAGGTGTGATGTACCACTTTTAAGGAGATCATTAATGGCACGGTGTATTTCTAATTTTTTGTTGGTCAAGTATATCTTAAACTTAAGATAGATTTAAGACTACTAAAATTGTTCAATGCCTAAAGCTTTTTTTTTTTAAAAAAAAAAAAACAAATAGATCAAGTGGTTAGTCTGAGTGGTTAGTCGACAAACTATCTTGAATAAAAAAAATCAAGAAAAAATGGAGAAAAAAAAATTAGTGAAATCAATAAATTTCACAAAACGGATTTGGAGAATTGAAAAAAAACATTTATAACCATTTCAATATAAATAAAAAGGAAATTAAATTACAAAAGAAATTTAGGAAAAGAAATAAAGGGATAGTTTAGTTATTTAGGGGTCTTATCCAAGATTTGTTAAACCTTGAATTAGTTATTCCTCCATTTTCTAGGGATAAGATAAGACCACATATGGTGGATAAGCAATGCATGAATTAAATTAAATAAAGTAACCAAACAATGTATTAGATGAACTAAATTTTAATCCATGGACTATTCTATCTAATACCGCCTACCAAACGGGTCCTTAGTAACTTATTTCTACTTGTGTTTAACTAATTCTTCATGTGAAGCTTAGGGCTTGGAAATTTTAGGAGGCAATTTTGGAAAAAGTCTTGAATGAAGATCCAAAGAGTGAAAAAAAAAGTCAAAACTGAAAGAGTGATAGATGAGTGATTGATTGAATCGAATAGGTGTATATGCACCAAGGGGGTAAATGGTACGATGAGGATTTTTGTCTACTCATTTCGTACGTATAACTAATGGTGGACAAACCTCAACTTTTAGAGGTGAACCATCCCCAAGTGATGTTATGAGACCTCTTATAAAATTGAAGGGCAACTTTGACAACATGAACCGGGGGTGAACAATTTGGAGGAATGAGAAGTTACTCCTTGGGTTAGGTACAATGCTATTCAACAAATCCAAGGAGTTGGCACAAGCATGACCCCGACTATTTTCCCACTCCACTATCAGCTAGCCAACTACATCGAGTGTTGCAACAAAGGTCAGACCACATATGTTAAAAGAGATGAACCCTTCTAAGGCTATCCAAGTCGTCCTCCACCATCATCACACTATCCATAAACAACAATCTATGTTGCTCAGACTCCCAAAAAAAAATTGTCGCACCGGGTCGAATCCTCCACAAAGCACTACTTCTGGAGTATCAGAAATGCGCACATCGATATTTTTTAAGAATCCAAGCAACATAGCCAACAATAACCATATGAACAACCACAATACCAACACCATTACAGATAACCCTACTAACAACTATATCGAACACCAAAACAACTACTTTGAAGTCAAGCAATGGGGTTTGTTCATCAAGAACCTCAACTAGCACAAGAAGAACCAGTCAACCTTAAAGGAGTAGAAGATAATGCTCAAATGTGAAATGAGATATCAAGTTTAACCAAGTTATGGAAAACCTAAGTACAACCATGATGAACATAAAAGAGGATTGAACAACCAAATGTGAGCAAGTTGAGGCATATAAGAAATGTAACTAGGCTATATGAGCATTACGTTAATCATGATAACATTGAAGGAAAAGAGAGACAAATAGCAAAGGTTGGTGAATAAAAAAGGCTTTCTAAGATTGATGGTTATTTGCTTATAAATGGTAAAGTGTATGAACCTCAATATTCTTGGATAAATATAACTAATAACTAGAGAGGCACATAGTGAGGGTTTAATGAGACATTTTGGTATACCTTAAGCTTTAGCTATTCTTTAAGAACACTTTTTTTATATGGAATTTCACTAGGTTTGTTGTTGTTATGTTGAAGTAACAATGCTCAATTTAAGGTACAACCTTAAGGGCTTGTATACTCCCTTTCCTACTCACAACACCTTGCATGTTTTGACATTTTCATGAATTTTGTGCTTGATTACCTAGCAAGAACAAAAAAGTGAAGAAAGCATTTTTGTGGTAGTTGATAGATTTTTTATCATCATTTCATATTATGTCATAAAAGTGATGATGTGCTCCTAATGTCCTTGATTGCATTGGGTTCATAACACCATTATTAGTGATAGGAATTCTAAATTTCTTAGCTCTTTGGAGTTGGGCACCGAATTGAAGTTCAATACTTCTTGTTACCCGCAAACGGACGCCTAAAATGTATTGGTTAATAGGACATTAGATAACATACTTGAGGCCATGTTAAGGGTAAGCTTAGTTCTTGGTTGAACCACTTACCTATAGTGGAGCTTGCTTATTATTGTACTACTCATTCTTCTATCGATATGTCACAATTTGAATGTCTGTATGGTTTTAATCTTCTCTTCTCTTCGAATTTGTCTCGAAAAATTATTGCGAGTTTAGATGCCAAGAAGAGAGTTGAAACCATGAAGAAAATTCATGAGAATGCTAGAAGGCAACTTGAGAAAATGAATACCAAAGCAAACAAATTAAGAAAGAGGATGATTTTTGAACCCGGAAAATGAGTTAGGAGTCATTTGAAGGGAGAAAGGTTCCCACAAAGAAGAAACTAAGCTACTACTAAGGGAAGAAGGCCCTGCCAAGTTCTTGAGCACATTAATGATAAACGCTTAGAAGATTGATTTTCCTAATGAATTTCCTAGGGCATGATTTATTCAAACATTAGTGATTCATCTACTTTTGTTGTAAGTAATAAAAATTTGAGGACAAATTTGGATGATGACCCCTAATCTATACCTACAATACCATTCATTCGTACCAAACAAAGAATATACACACACTTGGTTTGCTCTTAATGTAGCGGTAAGTGTTCAATGATGCTTAGGAGGATTCCATCTTATACTACAACTGTTGGAATGGTAGGAAGATCGGGAAACAAAGCACCATATCGCGATACATATAAACTGCAATAGCAGTGTTGATTAGGCAACAATTGAACTTTCCAAAAGTGGCTAATGACACTTTGGGGCCTATCTTAGGGTTATTTAATCAAGCACTTTATGTTAGGTGTTTGCTTGATTATATTAGGGATGATTAAGATTTCAGATTCGAGTTATTACTCCTGGTTTATCAAACATTGTTCTATATTTTACTTGCTTTCTGACATTAATAGTTGAAAAAAGCATGTGTTAAAAATCGATTTAGTTTCAAACAATTTCAGTGTAACACATCTTTAAATATCACATGCAAAAAAAAAAAAAAAAAAAAACCGCAGTACATCAGAATAATAATGAAGAAGAACCTGTTGGTGCTGGAGAATTCATGGAGCCTGCCACGATTAGAAATTATAACAACAGCAACATCGACATCACAGAGAATGGAAAATTCTTTTGCTTTCTTCATTAAACCTTTGCTGCGTTTACAAAACGACATTTGCCTATTACTCTTCGATTCGATTCGCTTTATCTCCAACTTCCTTCGACCCATTCTATTTTTTCTAAGCCCTAATCGAATAATAATTTCCCAGAAATTTTCATCACCATTGCTCCGGCCAGTTACCATTTTTGTGCTTTTACTTGTCCCGCTCGAATCTCCATGGGTCCCCACTACCTCCAACAACTTTTCATGCTTTTTATTTTTTTTTATTTTTTTCAGATTCTGACTCTTCTGTTTTTTTTCTTCAGATTCTGACTCTTCTGTTTCTAATTATCAGTAAATTGGTACAATACAATGGACACAAAACTAAGCTCGAAACGGTGACATTTGGCTTCAAAACATGGCAAGGTGCCAATTAAATGACAAGTTTACTAATGAATACGTGGAGACAACCGCATCAGTTTAAATATAAAAAAACTGCACCGCTTAAAAAATTACTTCAACATACAAATTGATATACCCCTCCTTCCCATTACCATTTGTTTAGAATTTGTGGTCTAAAATAATTCATAGATATTTTTATGGTTAAAAATTATTTTATTATGAATAAAATAATATTTTAAAGTTAATTTGTTTCTAATTATAATAAGATAACATTCTTTTTAAACGGACTAAAGAGGGAAGGGTGTAGTATAAAATGGAACGAGGGAGTAATATAAGTCCAAATTTTGATGGTTAAAGTTTTGTTATTTTGATGATGTAGTCGGACATTATTTGTATTTGTACTATTTAGAAATAATATAAAATATAGTATAACTTTCTGTGTTTTAATTTATGTATTCCTGTATATTAGTTAGGTATTAAATTTACTAAAGAGGAAAAAAAAAATTATAATCTACAACACTTTTTAATTATTTATGTTTTTATAAGTAATTATATTAAATATAAAAAAAATCGAAATAAAATTATTTTCAATTACAAAAGGCCAAGATATTTTTTTTAGACGGAACTTAAAAAAGAAATTGGCATATAAATGAAAGAGCATACGAATAAAGTATTGTAAAAAGCTTTATGTTTGATTCGATATCTGCAAATTATATTACTACCTTCACTTTTAATAGTTATAATTTCCTTTTTTTTACTCAAATTATAAGAACTTTAATTAATATTTTATGATGTATTTTTCATCATATTAATATGCAAAAAACTGCAATTTATAATATTTTTCATATAATTTTTGAATATTCAAAATATCAAATTAATTTAATCTGATTTAACTTAAAAATTACGCAGATTAACTTTCAAAAAGCACAATAATAACGATTAAAACGGGCAAAGGGGATATATTATTATAACCTATGGATGGTAGGACATAACATATGCAATAATCTTTCTCAAATAATGTATCGAACGGTAAAAAAAAATAAAAATAACCTTTCATATTTTATAGTGAAAATATTCTAGTCAATAAATGGAAGACTCATGATAAACAGTTTTTACAGTAAACAGTATTCACATCTGCTATTTTTGTATTAATGGTGAAATTTTGTTATTATTAATTATATAGAGATTTTAGAAATCAAGTTTGTCTTTCTGAAAAAAAATATGAATTAATTGCTGTTGTGTTGGTTTAGGCGTGTAATCTACTAATCTATAATAATTCATTCGAATAAATATTTTTTCCTTTATATTGTATGTTTTGCTTATTCAAAGAACACAAAGTTAAAACGGAAATGAGAAACATAATGCTCTCCATAAATAAACAAAGAATCCCGTAATAATATTTAACAATAAAAATATAATACAAATAAATCAATCAATAGCTGTAGTGAAACTATATCTAAACCATAAATAAAAGCGTGAACTCATCAATTCCGGCGAATGAAAAAAATGCGAAATATCTCACAGATCAGAGATTTAGAGCATCAAAGCAGCAGCAAAGACAGCAACAACAGCAGATCCGGCGACGGCGACTCTGTTCAAGGAAGCAGAGTTTGGAGATTCAGTAGGAGAACCTCCGGGAGCAGCGGCGATTGATGGAGGAGAAGCAGCACCGGAAGGAGACGACGACGGAGTCTCAGCAGTTGGTGGAGCTGGTGGAGATGCCAATGGAGAAGATGCAGTAGTAGGAGCATTTGCAGGAGCAGAGACAGGTGGTGTTGATGTAGTAGTAGGAGGAGTCGCCACCGGTGGTGATGCTACCGGTGCCGGCGAACTCTTCGGAGAAGCTGCCGGAGATGCTCCCGGTGCTTGTGCGAAAGCAGATCCAGCGATAAACGCCAACATTAGAGCAACAATCACCTTTGAGTATGCCATTTTTCGAGTAAAAAAAGTGGAAGAAGCACAAAGAGTAATTGAAGGAGGAAATGGAAATATGAGTTGTGAATACTGTTTGATTTTGAAGAAAAGGAGAGGAGAAGAGTGTATTTATAGGTGAAAAAAATGAAGGTTTAGATTAGTAGTAAGTGGGTTTATAATTGAAAATTAGCACTCGTAATTAGTAGTTGACAACTCAACAACAGAAGATATGACTGAGTCCAAGCTGGTTACATTTTTGTTTTGCGTGTGAAGAGATAAATTATTCTAACAAAAAATTGTTTGAATATTTCTTTGTACAACTACTTTTCAAATTTGATTTCTTATAAAATTTTGAATCTAAATTATTAGCAAACAGATATGGTTTCCATTACGATTGGTTTTCTGTTCTTCAAAATTTCACCATCGAGAATGAGGGATAAGATTGCGCATATATTATCTTGGAAAAATGATAAAAAAATGTCCTTAAACTATGTGAAAGAAATAAAAAAGTCCTCCGTTTATAATTTGGCTAAAAAATGTTTTCACCGTCAATATTTTAGTTCAAAAATGCCCTTAAACTATGTGAAGGATAAAAAATGCTTTTCGTTTATAGTTTGGTTCAAAATGCTCTTGCTGTCAATATTTTGGTCCAAAAGTACCCTTATTGTTATTTAATGCGCCAAAAATCTCATTTTCCAAATAAATATATTATTATTTTCTTTTTAACACATTCTTTTTCTAATACTATTTTTTTAAAAAAATTAGCAAATGTTTATCTTATTTCAATTCAGAAAAAAAATAAAAAATGAAAATATTTCTTATTTTATTATCAATATTTTTTATTGTTATATAAATATAAATTAATAATGGATATACTATGATCTTATAAATATGACATATATTATCTGTCGAAAAGGTACATGCAGTTATTCTATTTTAATTGATAAAATGTGATTAAGAAGAAACAAATATTTCCTACATTTTTATTTGTTAAAGTGATTTTAGAAGAAAGAAAACAAGAATAGTGTTCTTTAATAATATTTTTAGTATGAAGAAGATGTGTTTAAAAAGAATATATATATATATATATATATATTCGGAAAATGACATTTGACCCATTTTACAACTATAGGGACATTTTTTTACCAAAGTATTGACTGCAAGTGCATTTTTGAACCAAAACATTGACGGTAAGGAAATTTTTGAGCCAAACTATAAACGGATGACATTTTTGTTCGTTCACATTGTTTAAGGGCATATTTGACCATTTTCCCTATTATCTTCTTCAAATTTTACTTATAAATATAAAGTTAAAATTCATAAATACACTTAGGGTCTGTTTGGATTGGCTTTTGGCTTATTTTGTTATTTTGATTTTAAAATAAGTGCTTATAAACACTTTTTAACTTTATCCAAACACTTCAAAACTGTTTAAAAGGTATTTTGGTTTAAAGCACCTAAAATAAGCCAATCCAAACGGGCACTTAAACTATCCTCATTTTTTAGTTTTACACCTATATTATTTGGAGCGTGAGAAACACACATGAAATATCACTCATAATGAGTTAACGTGATTACTTCAGGAAGAGTTAACATGATGCATATATGTTATTACTTATTAGTGGAAGACATAACACTTATTGATGAGACACAGGACAAAGTTTATAATAGGTTGGAGGTTTCGAGACAAATATTAGAGTCCAAAACATTTAAGTTAAGCATGACCAAAATAAAATATGGAGTACAAATTCAGTGTTGCGTTGGATGAAGCTGACATAGAAGTAAGATTTGCCACACAAACTATTCTAAGGGAGAAAGTTTTAAGTATCTTGAATTCCTAATTCAAGGAAGTAGGGACATCAATGATGATATCACACATTGCATTGGGTGACATGGATGAAATGGAGACTTACCTCAAAATCTTGTGTGATAATAAGATACTATCTAAACTGAAAGGTAAGTTTTAGCGAATGATGATTAAATCGGTCTTTTCGTATAGAGTGGAATGCTTACTAATCAAGAATTTACATGTTGAGGAGATGCATGTTGCGGAGATGAGAATGTCAAGATAAATGTGTGGATATATTAGGAGTGACAAAATTAGAAATAAGGTCATCTAGGAGAAGGTGGGAGTAGCTTCTGTGGCGGACAAGATGTGGAAAGCAAAACTGAGATGAAATAGACATGTGCAAACGCCCAATATGGCGGTGCAAGAGGCAGACGTAAGAGATACACGTAGGATTAGAGGTAGACCGGAAAACATATTAAAAAAGGATATTTAGACAAGACATGATACAATTTCATATTATCAAAGACATTTAGATAGAAAGGAGTAAAAACCAGATATTAGCATAGAAGGTTAGTAGGGATAGAGTTTGTATTGTCTTACTTTTGTTATCTATTGTCATACTCATATATTGTGTATTAAGTATATTTTATCATACTATTTTATTGTTGCTATTTTACTTTATTTTGGTTATGTTAATTATTGTTGATAAATTCCTCGTAGCTCAAAGAGGAATAAACAGAGGGACGACCACACAAAAACAAAGTACAACGAGGAAATGAAAAAGAGGAGATCATAATCATAATGCTCTCCATAAATAAATAAAGAATTCTGTAATAGTATTCAACAATAACAATATAAAACAAATAAATCAACTACACTAACTCCATCAATTCCGGCGAATGAAAAAAACGCAAAATATTTCACAGATCACATATTTAGAGCATCAAAGCAGCAGCAAAGACAGCTATGACAGCAGATCCGGCAACGGCGACTCTGTTCAAGGAAGCAGAGTTAGGAGATTCAGTAGGAGAACCTCCGGGAGCGGCGGCAATAGATGGAGGAGAAGCAGCACCGGAAGGAGACGACGCCGGAGTCTCGGAAGTTGGTGGAGCTGGAGGAGATGCCAATGGAGAATCGGATGCAGTAGTAGGAGCATTTGCAGGGGCAACGATAGGTGGTGTTGATGTTGT